TTCTCTTGAAAAGACCAAAAAACTTCAATAGAAAGAGTTCCCTTCATCAAAATATCAAATGTCCAAGCAGTCAATTCAAAAATAAAGGAACCTGTTTATGACTTATCAAGAGGTAAGGCACCTAGGCCGGATGGTTAACCAATGGTTTTCTGTCAGTCCTTCTAGGATAACGAGGGATTCTATTAGAGGGGAAGATTAATAAAGCCATCAACTCCTTTATAGTTTTAGTACCAAAGAAGAATGTATATGAGACCTTACAAGATATAAGACCAATTAGCCTCTTTATAATTCTATACAAAATTATTTCCAAAATTCTAGCTAATAAATTAAAGGCGTTACTTCAAAGTCATATTTTGGAACCTCAATCAATCTTTATAAAGGATTGTCAGATAATGAGTAGTTTTTTTGTTGCACAAGAATCCGTTCAATCCAATATGAAATCAAAGAAGCCAATGTTAATTTGCAAGCGTGATGTTGAGAAAGCCTATGATAAAGTGGAGTGGGATAATTTATTGGAAATAAAAAGATGCATGGGTCTTGGAGGAAAGTGGAGGAAGTGCCTAATGGGCTGTTTAGAGTCAACACATTTTGCAATACTAATCAATGAAAGGTCGATTATTTTAAAGGGTCGAGAGGAATTCAATAAGGTGATCCCTTATCGCAAATCTTTTTCGCATTAGTAGTCGAATCCATATTGCCATTCTTTATCACTTAGTAGTGGACCCTATATCGCCATTCTTTTTCATATTAAAATTTTTCTTTACCATGGAGAAAATGAAAATAAAAATATAAAAAGAACGGAATATGAGAAATGATACAATATAGTTGAAATATATAATACGGTATAGTGTTTGTATCTAACCTCCATCCATCCATCTATCATCATCATCATCCAAGCCTTATATGAAGAATCTCAGGTTTCTCTGAAGAGACCTAGTGTCTATTAATTGATATGAATACATAGATTTGTATTTTTATAGACACATTATAGATGACACTAATAGAAACTAAATCATAGACACCTAAACTATACCCAAACTTACCATAAAATACAAGACACAATATCCTACCCTTGCCATATTTACTGATTACAATATACATCTTCTATATTAACCAGAAATACAATATGTACTTTCCTTTTATACTCCTTCAAACTCAAGATGCTATGAAAGAAAGTAGTTGGAGTTTGAACAAGTAGTTGGAGTTTGAACACCAAGTCGCGGAAACGAGCAATTGGATCTTTAGGTGCATACTTAGACAAAGAAAGTAGTGGTGAATCAACACGCCTCGAGAACATATGGCTATAGGAACTCTTGGAAAAGATCAAACAAATCAGAGAGTCGAAATACGACTCGACATATAGAGACAGATCAAAGAGTCGAAACACGATTTGGCAGAGAGACAGATCAAATAATCGAAACACGGCTCAACAGAGAGTACAGATCAAATAGTCGAAACACGACTCAGCAGAGAGTCGAAACATGACTTGACAGAAATTGCATTGACTGGGTGAGCAATAGACTCGTCTTGAAAATTAGTGAGGATGCTTCAAGGACGAGGAATTAACACAACTAAGATGAACCTCATTTTGATACCATATGAAGAGTCTCAGGTTTCTCTGAAGAGACTCAATGTCCATTAATTGATATGAATAAACTGACTTATCTTTTATAGACAAATTACATATGACACTAATAGAAACTAAATAATCGACACTTAAACTATACCCAGACTTATCATAAAATATAAGACACAATATCCTACCCTTCCCATATTTACTGATTATAATATACACCTTTTATATTAACCGGATATAGAATGTATACTTTCCTTTCACAGATTAAATGAATCATGTTCCTCTATTTTGCTTTTATCAAGTATCATATTCTCAATCAAACCATACGTCACTATATTTCTTCTCACTACTCCCATCCATGTCCATTTTGGCCTTCCCCTTGCCCTTTTAGAGCTTTCCACTTGAACCAATTCACTCTTCCGAACTAGTATTGAATTAGGCCTATGCTATATATAGTTTTGATTAATGAAACTAGAGGCGGAATCGACAGAAAGTTATAACTTTAGAGGGATGCTTTAGAATCTAAAAGTATTAAAATTAACCAGATCAAGACATAACATATGGAATGTAAGTTTAGTAATGATAGACCCATAACTCTTCAAATTGGAGTACTCTAGACCTCCAAGATCAAGATGCTGACAGTGAAAGAAGGATTTAGAATGCTAAGAAATAGTTTTACATGGACATTGACACATGTGGCATCTGTAGGACACATCTAAAGTATTTAGTACTTCAACAAAATGCTAATACTACAAGACAATTATGTACAAGCATTAGTTTGAATAAAATAAGGGAAATTTATTAAAGGGTGAGAGTTGTAAAAGGTTGGCACCTTAAGCAATCAAAGTAAGGCATATCTTGAATTGATGCCGAAAGCTGTAGTTCAAGCGCCGAAAATCCCTAAGATGGTCATCAAATCTATTTTTATATTGAATTGTGAAATTTAAAGCTTCAAAACTAGTGCAGATCGAGCAGATTAACAAACACTAGATAATCTTGAAAGTAGACAGTCTAGATAATATATTAGAAGATTCACTTTTTTCAGGACTTAAAATTCCTTCTTTTTTTCCACATCCATACATCTGAGTTGTTCAATTAGACATGTTTTTTACGTTAGAACAGCCTTGTCCATTGAGTTTTTCGAGGTGCGCCTTATTTTTATAGTATAACTCTGACACCTTATATAAAATTTTTCCTTTATAAAATTACCCACAAGATATGAACAATCTAAAACTTTGCCCATATCTTCCGATTTAATCTCAAATCGTCTTGGGTTAGAATAGTTGCAATTAGGTAAAGTGTTAAATACTTCATCGCTAATAAGTATTTAGACAAATTTTTCATAAAATAATAAGGCCTTCTAACCAATATATTATGTAGAGTTTTGCGGAAGCTTTGATACCAATTGTAAAATCCAACACGACAATGAAGAGTGAGAAACACTAACTTTTATTATTAAAAAGAAATATTACGATAATATTTCCATCACTCAACCACCCAAAAATACACTCTTTCTAAAACATGCACGCGCAACCCGTTACTGCAACTCTCACTCACAACATCAACTGAACTTCATGCTTATTGTCCACTATTCCCTTTCAAATGGCCTACCAACCCATTATTTCACACACCCACAATAAGGCATCCAAATTTTATTTATAGGCCTTGTGAAGACTCACAATGATCCACGTGAGCTATCCATTTGAAGAAGGAAGGAATGAGAGAGGGTGAGATGACCTGGGGTCTTGGACGAGCAACTACTTGTTACGGTCCAGATATTATATTTCTTTTTCTTCATATTTGTGATAAAGTGGTGGACCGGTGGCACTTTAAACTCCTGAGCCCTTGGTTCAGGATCGAATCCCCCTACCACAAGCATTTCAAAATCCTTTTTCAATTTACTGAAGTATGAAAAAATGCTCCTCTTAGTGCTCTCGCAATGTTCCATTTTGGCCATTTGATCTCAACAATCCATGGATTTTTTAGGTGTAGTTGTATAACCCTAACCCGACCCCTGGATTTTTTAGGTGTAGTTGTATAACCCTAACCCGACCCCTCTCTAGAATATGGATTTTTTAGGCATAATTGTATAACCCGACCCCTCTCTAGAATATGGATTCTTTGGGCATAGTTGTATAACCCGACCCATCTTTAGAACGACTGGGTTGTTGGAAAGTGGATGAAACAAGGCAAAATAGAAATTGAAAGAAGCTAAATGGGTTTCAATATCTCTGATCAAAGGCATAATAAGTAGCTTAAGTTTATATATCAGTATACACTTAAGTTTCTCACAGGCAAATTTGTCTTCGGGATATAAAGGAGCAGAGGATTAAGGATACTAACTTGTCAATACAAATGCACAAGTATTGTAAGTTCTTTGTCTTCGAAATATAAGGGAGCAGAAGATTAAGGATACTAACTTGCCAATACAAATGCAAGTTTTGTAAGTTCTAAATCGCCTATTTTTTTAGAAAGAGGAAAAATTGATATGTAAGTTTTTTAGTAAAAGATGAGAAAATATGTCTCTATATATAGAGGTAAAGTGCCCTTTTCACCTACTACACATGACTATTCAAGTACCGAATAAATCAAGATTTGCGTCTCATGAAATCTAAGCTGTCAGTACGGCACGTCCGGTGCAATGACGTGCAATAGGATATCCCATATTTCATGCGGTGACCCTCCAAGTTCCGATTCGGGTTCCGATAAACTAATTATCGCAATATTCAATCACACGGTATCTAATTAGGTTCCAATAAAATAATTGTCACATGCCTACTGTACGAGTGCAAACTCCCGGAGTGCACCAATGCACCAAAGTACACACTTCATATGTGCGTCTTCACCATGGGGCACTATTCACCGGGTGCACTAAACCACAAAAGCCCAATATACCGACAGGCCCTTAGGCCAGTAATGCACTAGAGATGAATCTATGGGAGCATTGAAGTGGTGGCAAAAGTTATACACGAGCCTATCCCACACACTTGTGAAGGGGCACCTCATGTGCTGATACGAGCGCAAGTACACTATCAAGTGCCCTCACCCTCGCCTATGTCCATACATATGCGCGATCGCATTCTTCGCATGCTCCGCATAGGCTTTCTCTCCCTTTGGTTCTTACAACACAAGTAAAAGAGGATGTTCACATATTTATACAAAGTTTTCTCTTCCACATCCGAAATATGGGATAAACAACCCATCATTTCTCTCTCTCTCTACATGTACCAAGACAAAACACCATTTTCAAAGCTCTACACTTTCCAAAATACTATGGAACAAGGGGGTTATTATTTTGAATAACATAAGATATTTTTCAAAGCATAAAAAATAAAAAACACAAGTCGTTGCATGTCTTAAACAATAAAAATATCTCAAAAACTATGTCATAACACTTCGAGGGAGCATATGAGAGAGAGAGGGGTTTGTAGCTTAAATAACCAGTTAATTGGAAAAAACAAAGTAAATTTACCTCGCATGAAGTCTGTAAATTAACCAAAGATTTCAAATGAGAAAACTACAAGTAAATTCCCCTTGTGACCAGCTTAATTTCTCTGCCTTAAGTACAACATCAAGCCTGAAGTCTGTAAATTAACCAAAGATTTCAAATGAGAAAACTACAAGTAAATTCCCCTTGTGACCAGCTTAATTTCTCTGCCTTAAGTACAACATCAAGCCTAAGGGGCCTAAAACTCCTGTCAGGCCCATAAAAATGAGGGAAGAAGTTGACATCATCTACGGCTTCATATATCAAACCATTTCCAAGCTGCCATAAAAAGTGACAAAGAATAAAAGAAGGTTTGCATGTGACATGGCATGAATGATTTTCCTTTTTTTAGGAAGATAAAAAAGAATAAACTATAAAAGCAACTAGGAAAACACATTTAAGCTTATTCATAACATGCCTCATGTATAACTTGTAACTATAGTTTCAAAGAAGCTAGAAATATTTGTAAAACAATCAAAAGAAAGGAAGAAGGAGATTATTTCTTGTATGTAAATATCTCATAATTCAGCCAGGCGGTAGCTAAGAGAAGGGCAAATAATGATATCTCTATAATATTATCACAACGTAAAGCTAGATTTTGGTGGGAGCATCTCACTGACTTAGAACAAATAGCAATAGTAGAAATATGTTTATCTCAATTGGGTTCCAAATTAATTGCTGAAATCATGGCTGACAGATCCGCTTATAAAGTTGTTGACATAGTTTTATGGCACAAAAGAAAACTTACAAATACTTGAAAAATTTTCTGAAGTTTTATGAAAGAAAATATTTAGTAGCCATGCTAGGAAAGATTTCAGATTTGCTCATTGACACAATTACAACAAAAATGTGCTGCTAAAAACATTGGTCCTTTCGGATGCTGGATATACTCGTGCCGAAATCAAAAGGCTTTGTCATAAAGCTAATGCTGCAAAATTGTACAAAAAATGGGCCAAAGCAATGTCATACTATTGGAGGAACAGAAATCATACAACAACCTACTTAACCCTATCAAATTTTAGTCAAGAAATAAAGGTGAAACATGGGAAATCAGGGACCATGTTTTACATGCAGATAATGGCATTTCGTTGCCTAGTGTCCTCAAAAGGTACCGAAATAAGTAAGGGCCATATTCTCCCAATTTACTACTTGAGAAGAGGGGCTGATAATAGGGATTCCAAATGAATAAGAAGAATTCCAAATGAATAAGAAGAAGAATAAGCTTTTCAAGATAAAAATATTTTTGCCTTATAATAGTTTTACTTTTGAAGATTCCTTTCGTTTCCCATTTAGAAAATAGAATTCATTTTTGAAAAAGTGTGGTGACATGACAAATTTTATGTAAGATGCTTTACTTTTTCTTTTGCATTTGTAAAAGTTGGATAATGTGTCCAACGTTATATAGAAAAGATAGAAGAGAATCTTCCTTTTTATTTTTCTGCCCATGCAACTACCTTCACAAAGTAAAGGTAGTATTGAACCTTGTAAATTCTATGAATAAATAAACCTTATTCAACAAATGCAAGAGTGAAATCTTGGTTGTTCCTTTGAGCAGGTATTTAGAAATACTACTTTCTTAAGCAAAATGCAGAACCCGTCTCAAGGTTAAGTTGTCCCTTTAATTTTCTGTTTAATAAATTTGTGCTCTGAAAGCTCATATACATCGGAAGGTTGAATAAGATGTAAAAGATGATGCTGATCGACGTGGATAGATTTCCAAACTCCTCATTTATTTCGTTGTAGAGAAGCCGGTTAGAGTGCCAATCCCTTCTTTTTTTTAATTTTTTAAGGGAAGGTGGAACAACATGAGGTAAGAGGATGACAGAGTCCTGTGTCATCCCAAAATGTACGTCTGTAAACTAAAGCCTCAGCTACAAAAGGAGTAATTTGAACAAAAGAAAACAATCTAAAGAAACTGACCAACAACGTATTCTCAAAGAAAGGTAGCAAAAGCACAAACCATGGAAGAGACAAGAGACTCAATTTTTGGGATTTTCTATGATATAAAAAGAGAAAACATATTAGAGAAAGAAAGAAACAAGACTGTTTTCTTTTTTGGTCTTAAAGGAGGATAGAACAGTATGAGGTGAGAGGATGTAGAGACCTAGAAAGGCCATGGTACTGGTACCCTCTATAACGAGACAAACGTGGACAGTTCATCCTGACAAACGTTGACAGTCTCAATTGTGTCAATGACCAAATCTAAAATATTTTTTGGCATTGCAGCTAAATACGTGGCATTGCATGTAGGAGTTTTGTGTAACACCAATCTGTGACTTCTTTTATAAAACTTTCAGAAATTTTTTCAAAATCATCAAATATTCACAAGTTTTCTTTAATGCAATAAAACCATATGAACAACTTTTGAGTGGAACTTTCATCCACAAATTCGGCAATTAGTTTGGAACCCAAATGAGATAAGCCTCTGAGATCGAAAAACATACAAACCCATTGCACAATCTCATCAATACGAAATATATTCGCTTTTCAGGTAGAAGTCCCTATGATTTCCTGAGTAGGTTACTTTTCTACAAGGGTTTTGTTAGGAACAAGTTGTCTTTACTTTCAGAACGTGTTTGATAACAGGAAGTGTCTTTATAGGAATTTTGAACCTCTTATTGTTCAAGTTTTGTGTTTGATAAAAAAATTGAACTTCAAACAAAACTTCAAGAAACTGTTCAAGTTCTAATCTTGTTTTAAAAAAAAAGTTCCAACCCAAGGGTTGAAACTTAAACTTGGAACTTTTTTTTT